TAGAGTCATAACAGATAGCTGTAACACATACAGTCATAACAGATAGCTGTAACACATACAGTCATAACAGATAGCTATAACACATACAGTCATCACAGATAGCTGTAACACATACAGTCATCACAGATAGCTGTAACACATACAGTCATAACAGATACCTGTAATAGATAGAGTCATGATAGATAGCTGTGAGAGAGAAAGTCATGACAGATAGCTGTAACACAGAGAGTCATAACAGATAGCTGTACGATCTAGTCATAACAGATAGGTATAAGATACAGTCATAACATAGCTGTAACAGATAGAGTCATAACAGATAGCTGTAACACATACAGTCATAACAGATAGCTGTAACGCATACAGTCATAACAGATAGCTGTAACACATACAGTCATGACAGATAGCTGTAACACATACAGTCATCACAGATAGCTGTAACACATACAGTCATCACAGATAGCTGTAACACATACAGTCATAACAGATAGCTGTAACACATACAGTCATATCAGATAGATGTAATAAATACAACCAAGACAGATAGCTGTAGAACATAGAGTCATAACATATACCTGTAATAGATAGAGTCATTATAGATAGCTGTAACAGAGAAAGTCATGACAGATAGCTGTAACACAGAGAGTCATAACAGGTAGCTGTACGATCTAGTCATGACAGATAGGTATAAGATACAGTCATAACATAGCTGTAACACAGAGAGTCATAACAGATAGCTATAACACATACAGTCATCACAGATAGCTGTAACACATACAATCATGACAGATAGCTGCAACACATACAGTCATCACAGATAGCTGTACGATCTAGTCATAACAGATAGGTATAAGATACAGTCATAACATAGCTGTAACAGATAGAGTCATAACAGATAGCTGTAACACATACAGTCACAACAGATAGCTGTAACACATACAGTCATATCAGATAGATGTAATAAATACAACCATGACAGATAGCTGTAGAACATAGAGTCGAAACATATACCTGTAATAGATAGAGTCATGATAGATAGCTGTGAGAGAGAAAGTCATGACAGATAGCTGTAACACAGAGAGTCATAACAGATAGCTGTACGATCTAGTCATGACAGATAGGTATAAGATACAGTCATAACATAGCTGTAACAGATAGAGTCATAACAGATAGCTGTAACACATACAGTCATAACATATAGCTGTAACACATACAGTCATAACAGATAGCTGCAACACATACAGTCATCACAGATAGCCGTACGATCTAGTCATAACAGATAGGTATAAGATACAGTCATAACATAGCTGTAACAGATAGAGTCATAACAGATAGCTGTAACACATACAGTCATAACAGATAGCTGTAACACATACAGTCATAACAGATAGCTATAACACATACAGTCATCACAGATAGCTGTAACACATACAGTCATCACAGATAGCTGTAACACATACAGTCATATCAGATAGATGTAATAAATACAACCATGACAGATAGCTGTAGAACATAGAGTCATAACATATACCTGTAATAGATAGAGTCATGATAGATAGCTGTAACAGAGAAAGTCATGACAGATAGCTGTAACACAGAGAGTCATAACAGATAGCTGTACGATCTAGTCATGACAGATAGGTATAAGATACAGTCATAACATAGCTGTAACAGATAGAGTCATAACAGATAGCTGTAACACATACAGTCATAACAGATAGCTGTAACACATACAGTCATAACAGATAGCTGTAACACATACAGTCATGACAGATAGCTGCAACACATACACTCATCACAGATAGCTGTACGAGCTAGTCATAACAGATAGGTATAAGATACAGTCATAACATAGCTGTAACAGATAGAGTCATAACAGATAGCTGTAACACATACAGTCATAACAGATACCTGTAACACATACAGTCATAACATATAGCTATAACACATACAGTCATCACAGATAGCTGTAACACATACAGTCATCACAGATAGCTTTAACACATACAGTCATAACAGATAGCTGTAACACATACAGTCATAACAGATAGCTGTAACAAATACAGTCATCACAGATAGCTGTAACACATACAGTCATAACAGATATCTGTAACACATACAGTCATCACAGATAGCTGTAACACATACAGTCATAACAGATAGCTGTAACACATACAGTCACAACAGATAGCTGTAACACATACAGTCATAACAGGTTACGTTTCGATTCACAAATTGAAAACTTATGTTAAGCCAGAAATATGTACTTAAAAGAATAAAGTGTGAAACCAACAAACAACCAAAAAATGGTTTACAATCAGAGACAACTGTAACACATACAGTCATAACAGATAGCTGTAAAACAAACAGTCATAACATATAGCTGTAGCACAAACACTTATAACAGATAGCTGTAACACATGCAGTCATCAGAGATAGAATAACACATACAGTCATAACAGATAGTGGTAACAGATACCGTCATTTCAGATAGCTGTAACACATAGAGTCATAACAGATAGATGTAACACATAGAGTCATAACATATACCTGTAAGATGGAGTCATGACAGATAGTTGTAACAAATACAGCTATGACAGATAGTTGTTACACATAGAGTCATAACATATACCTGTAATAGATAGACTCATGACAGATAGTTTTAACAAATACAGCCATAACAGATAGCTGTAACACATAGAGTCATAACATATACCTGTAATAGATGGAGTCATGACAGGTAGTTGTAACAAATACAGCCATGACAGATAGCTGTAACAGATAGAGTCTTGATAGATAGGTGTCACACTTACAGTCATAACAGATAGCTATAACACATAGAGTCGTAACAGATAGCTATAACACATAGAGTCGTAACAGATAGCTATAACACATAGTCATAACATAAAGCTGTAACAGATAGAGTCATAACAGATAGATGTAACAGATACCGTCGTAACAGATAGCTATAACACATAGTCATAACATATAGCTGGTACACATAGAGTCATAACATATAGCTATATCACATACAGTCATAACAAATAGATACAACACTTACAGTCATGACAGATAACTGTAACAAATGCAGCCATAACAGATAGCTGTAACACATAGAGTCATAACAGATAGCTGTAACACATACTCATAACAGGTAACGTTTCGATTCCCAAATTGAAATCTTATGTTAAGCCAGAATTATGTGCTTAAAAGAATTAAGTGTGAAACCAACAAACAACCAACAAATGGTATACAATCAATAACTGTATTACAAAATTCACTAGGTCTATAAATCAATACAAATTACCGCACAGCAATTACAATGGTAGTACACAATAAAGCCGTAGTACAATATTCAGAGACGGGCCTAAGCAGGGATTCAGGGGTGATGAGTGCGCCTCACACGAAAGCTGGTCTTAATGTGATGAAATGTGTGAGAGAAACGTAAACACGCTCTTGTCTCCTTGTATCAGCCCAACTAGCAGTCTAGCAGTACCAGAACACTACAGAACATTCCACACAAGTCCATGATATTCCGTTTACGTTTACACATGACACTAGCATCTAAATAGAGTTACTTCTTCAAAACTGCCTACCTTAAACAGTACTACATTATTCACAACGTATCACTGTCCAAACACAATACAATGAAGGTAAGCCGAGAGAGAGTGAGACAGTTACCACCGGGCTTTGTTCAACAATAAAATGTACTACCATATAACATCAGATAGTTGTAACATATAGTCATAACATATAGCTGTAACATAAATAGTCATAAGAGATAGCTGTAACACATACAATCATAACGTATAGCTTTAACACAGACAGTCATAACAGACAGCTGTAATACATACAGTCATGACAGATAGTGGTAACAGATACCGTCATAACAGATAACTGTAACACATACAGTCATAACAGATAGCTTTGACACATACAGTCATAACACATAGCTGTAACACATACTGTCATAACAGATAGATGTAATAAATACAACCATGACAGATAGCTGTAGAACATAGAGTCATAACATATACCTGTAATAGATAGAGTCATGACAGATAGCTGTAACAAATACAGGCATAATACATGGCTGTAACACAGAGAGTCATAACATATACCTGTAATAGATAGAGTCATAATAGATAGCTGTAACAGAGAAAGTCATGACAGATAGCTGTAACAGACACCTTCAAAACAGGTAGGTGTAACACATACAGTCATAACGTATAGCTCTAAATAAACTAAGCGGCAAAAGAAAGTATAGGTTGGCAATTTGTAATTTTCCTAAAAACAGCGATAACTAGTGGAAAGTGGGTATTAGGAATATGACTGCCCAGGAACAGGTACCAAAAAACACCTCACCCGAACGCGCCACCTTTGACGGCGCTCGTGCAGTGACAAAAAAATGGTGAAACTGGTTTTCCGCCTATGGCATAAACTGCACGTGCATGTTAGCTGTATAAATGTGTATAATATCGCCATCAGTCCGGACTAGTACAAGCACAGATAATGTTCTGTGTGAACATTGCAACGCAATTGAAGATGAAATTCATGTTGTTTATGTCTGTAAACATTATAATGACAAGCGTAAACTGTATTACCTAAATTGTCAAATAAGCAGTATTATTCACTTAAAAGCCGATGTACTTTGTCAGATATGAATGTATTATTGCCATTTACCAAGTTCTTAAGACATCTTTTAAGAACGGTTACGCTTAATAAGTAATTTTGTTAATTTGAGTCTGTATATCTTCATGTGGTAACTCAAATTATGATGTAAAAAGTTTTGTACTTTAGATCACGTGGCCTTTAATGCAAATAAACCTGTCTGTCTGTCTATAGAAAGTTATTTACTTCTGTTTACAGAAACACAACTTCAGGTTACCCAGAAATAAGACAGTTTTTCGAATTCTTCTCGGTGTTACAGTCGTAATTTTGTTGGCAACCTTGATGTCAAAACAGTCGATGACTCCTGGAAAGACAAGAGAGGTCAAGAAGATCCATCTTGGGTCTATTGGTGCAATGCCCGGATCTGCCTTCATTTCAGATTCGTTGAATTCAACATCAAACTCCAGGTCAGGTTTCCCTCGTAATACCATACGTGTTGAGAAGAATACAACTAAACTGATACTGTGGTATTTGCGACCAAATTATATCGTACCCACCCATGAAGGAGAGTTACGTCCCTTGAAGAACTGTCCAGATTTGAACTGTCGGGAAACAACGGACGAAAACCTGATATCTCGAGCAGATGCAGTTGTATTTGATGTTCATTATAAAATCCGAGCTAACAATAAACCGATCAGATACCCAGAGCAGACATGGGTGTTTTACGCTCAAGAATCTCCAGTTTACGTCAGGTCAAGTGTGTACAGAATGGACATGTGGAAGTCTTCCTTTAACTGGACATGCACCTACAGACGAGATTCCGATGTATGGTTGCCGTACGGAATTTTCGGTAAAAACCCGAAACTGATCGCTAAGGACTACCGTAAAATAGCTGAGAGTAAAACTAAAATGGCCGGTTGGGTCGTGAGCCACTGCTCATGTCAGAGCAAGCGTGACGTGTTTGCCAAGCGACTGGTAGAGCAAGGTATTCAAGTAGATATATTTGGAGACTGTGGAAAGAAATGCGGGAACAGAAGTAAAGATGGAACAGAAACCTGCGAAGACTTGGCGTCCAGCAATTATTCATTTTATCTCTCATTTGAAAACTCTCTGTGTGACGATTACATTACAGAAAAGTTTTTCCACATGTATAACAAAGATGTGATTCTTATAGCACGAGGGGGGCGCCAGTTTTTAAAAAGTCTTCCGAAAGGAACGTTTATAAATACGGATGACTATACAAATGTGAAAGATCTGGCTGCATACTTGAAACGGCTACACGAAAATAAAAATGAATACATCAGCATTTTAAAAAGGAAGGATGAGTATATGACAGTAGATGAAACTTATACCTACAAACCTACTCCAACATTTATATACACACATACCCGGTATATATCAGAACCTGTGTGTGACATGTGCAGAAAATTATTAGACATTGACAATAATAGGAACACATATCCCGATATATACCAGTGGTATAACGAGAATACTTGTGTTGAACCAACTGACCTGTAGTTGTGTGCACGAGCTGAGGTTGAAATTTAAATATTGACTGTGATCTTTCAGGTGGTATGTCTTCTTACTTAAAATGCAAAATCACTGCTGCACTAAACCACTTCTCAACTCTACCTCTGCTCTAGGCATCAAACCGAAGGCATGTTTTCAGTTTCAAATCAAATCATCTCAATAAGGATATCATCAAAAATTCTGGCAATCCAGAAGTCTACAGTGAATGGTCTGCCAGACATACCATCAGAAGTCTACAGTGAATGGTCTGCCAGACATACCATCAGAAGTCTACAGTGAATGGTCTGCCAGACATACCATCAGAAGTCTACAGTGAATGGTCTGCCAGACATAACATCAGAAGTCTACAGTGAATGGTCTGCCGGACATACCATCAGAAGTCTACAGTAAATGGTCTGCCAGACATACCATCAGAAGTCTACAGTGAATGGTCTGCCAGACATACCATCAGAAGTCTACAGTGAATGGTCTGCCAGACATACCATCAGAAGTCTACAGTGAATGGTCTGCCAGACATACCATCAGAAGTCTACAGTGAATGGTCTGCCGGACATACCATCAGAAGTCTACAGTGAATGGTCTGCCAGACATACCATCAGAAGTCTACAGTGAATGGTCTGCCAGACATACCATCAGAAGTCTACAGTGAATGGTCTGCCAGACATACCATCAGAAGTCTACAGTGAATGGTCTGCCAGACATACCATCAGAAGTCTACAGTGAATGGTCTGCCAGACATACCATCAGAAGTCTACAGTGAATGGTCTGCCAGACATACCATCAGAAGTCTACAGTGAATGGTCTGCCAGACATACCATCAGAAGTCTACAGTGAATGGTCTGCCAGACATACCATCAGAAGTCTACAGTGAATGGTCTGCCAGACATACCATCAGAAGTCTACAGTGAATGGTCTGCCAGACACACCATCAGAAGTCTACAGTGAATGGTCTGCCGGACATACCATCAGAAGTCTACAGTGAATGGTCTGCCAGACATACCATCAGAAGTCTACAGTGAATGGTCTGCCAGGCATACCATCAGAAGTCTACAGTGAATGGTCTGCCAGACATACCATCAGAAGTCTACAGTGAATGGTCTGCCAGACATACCATCAGAAGTCTACAGTGAATGGTCTGCCAGACATACCATCAGAAGTCTACAGTGAATGGTCTGCCAGGCATACCATCAGAAGTCAACAGTGAATGGTCTGCCAGACATAACATCAGAAGTCTACAGTGAATGGTCTGCCAGACATACCATCAGAAGTCTACAGAGAATGGTCTGCCAGACATACCATCAGAAGTCTACAGTGAATGGTCTGCCAGACATACCATCAGAAGTCTACAGTGAATGGTCTGCCAGACATACCATCAGAAGTCAACAGTGAATGGTCTGCCAGACATACCATCAGAAGTCTACAGTGAATGGTCTGCCAGACATACCATCAGAAGTCTACAGTGAATGGTCTGCCAGACATACCATCAGAAGTCAACAGTGAATGGTCTGCCAGACATACCATCAGAAGTCTACAGTGAATGGTCTGCCAGACATACCATCAGAAGTCTACAGTGAATGGTCTGCCAGACATACCATCAGAAGTCTACAGTGAATGGTCTGCCAGACATACCATCAGAAGTCTACAGTGAATGGTCTGCCAGACATACCATCAGAAGTCTACAGTGAATGGTCTGCCAGACATACCATCAGAAGTCTACAGTGAATGGTCTGCCAGACATACCATCAGAAGTCTACAGTGAATGGTCTGCCAGACACACCATCAGAAGTCTACAGTGAATGGTCTGCCGGACATACCATCAGATGCAACTCTTCCACTTGGAACTGATGTTACACTGACCACAGAATTATGTGCATAGTACAGCGATTACAGCTATGAAACGACCTGGGCTTCTTCCGGAAAGACGTGTGGAAATATGAAAACATGTATTTCTCATAACAACATGTTGGTTCTAGACGATCACAAAACTGAAGCCATGACTATTACTCCGTCGTTCAGGATATAAAGATGCAGAAATGATCCCCTTGCTGTTGGTCAGTCAATAATATCTTTCTCTCCAACTGTGAAAATCATTCTGCACTCTTGCCTTACCATGGACGATCATGTGAACTACCTCTGCAAAACATGCTATTCCTATCTGCATAATATAGGTTCAGTCTTCCTTCTTCTAACTTAAGACGCCACTGGCACTCAATTAGGAGATAAACTTACTGTGTTTTGAAATTTGATGTAGTCCCGTTATAAAAATGTAGAAATAAGCGGTATCTGCTCTACAGTTGGATTACATCAAACTTCAAAACACAGCTAAACTAACATGTGTAAGACTTATTAGTTAGTTAGCAATTACCCCCAGTAAATAATACAAAATCAAAATAAATGCCTCTCCATCCCGAACATAGATGTGGCAGAACTTGACCTACATCGCCGTTAATCACACCTCACAATTGTCAATGCCTGACAATGGTGTTGTTTACATTCTCTTTGCCCCAAACAAGTTACACTCCCGATCTATGATGTGCTTCAACAGTAACCTCCAGTTTTCTTCTGGGAATGAGCCTGCTGGTACGATGTGATGTCCAATGGGACTGAACATGACTGAACAACCATTTTTTAGGCTGACAAGAGGAATCTGATTTGATCTGTCAATTTCAAGATTTCACGCATTCTACTCCAGCGTGTGAACGAAAATTAATGTTACAGTTGTGGCCCCAAAATAGTGGTTCATGTATAATTTTGTTAATTATTTGTGTTCTTAAATGAATATCGTCAAGTTTGATAAGTTGCTATGATCAAGTTCCCGTGCTGTGCCAGTGATGTCATGGCATTTTGGGCTTTCGAGGGGCAGAATGTTTTCTGATTGAATTTCAAATCCCCTCCTGCCAAATCAATACGGTATTGGTTGACAGAGGAAGCAATGAATATCGACCACAATAAGGCTTGTAAACAACATATTTATGGTCATGAATAAAGTTTCTTCAAACACTTTTTTATGATGTCATATTTTAGTCTCATTGTTTGTTAGTTGTTTCAATGAGGAAATTGCCTGTTCTGAGTCTGTTCACCGTCTAACATGTTCCTAACAGTTTCAAAGACATTTCATTTGTATGCAAAAGATATGGCTTCGTAAAGTCTTGTTATCTCATCATCGAATGAGTCGGGGTTACGGCCTATAGGATCATATCGTCGCCATAAACATCCGATATCAAACTACAGTATTTCCTCAATTAAAAGCTAGACAGTCTATTAATTCTGCGAGAGCCGTTGACTTGGTTTTCTAAGAGTTTATTTGTTTTTAACGCCGCACTCAGCAATATTCCAGCTATATGACGGCGCTCTTTAAATAATCTAATCTGGACCAGACAATTCAGTAATTTACATCATGAACATCGATCTACGGATAAGATGACATGCATCAACCAAGTCAGAGATCCTGACCAACCGATCACGTTTTTCGCCGGAGCTTTACAGGTAGCGTGTATTGCAGACATGGTATTAGAGATCCAGCGTGTAACGGAGGAAACATTGATACATTTGACAGTTCCTATCAGCTCAGGGCCCTTGCTACCTCTACACGCAGCCCAGACATCGAATGGGACTTCTCCCAAGAAGTGCTACTTAGTCGAACCTACCCAGAACGTTTCAGTGAATGTGAAGACTCCCCATAGAGGGCAAACACGCTAATGATACCAGTGTAAAATAATATTCCATAATAATATTTTAAGCTAAGACCAAGGTTTCCATCAAACCCATCAGGTTTCATGACTTCTATTACCAAGCAGCCGCGGTTTCCTAGCACCGATAAGATCCGTGTTGGAATAGATCTTCAGCAACCCATGCTTGTCGCAAGAGGCGACAAACGGATTCAGGTGGTCAGGCTCGCTGACTTGGTGGATGCGTGTCTTCGAACCATTTTTGCGAAAATCGATGCTCATGATGTCAATCACAGACCTCTGTTAAATGGCTGGTATATTGCGGAATGCGGCGTTAAACAACAAACGAAAAAACAACTTCAAAATGTAGGATTAGCCACCGGAATCAAGGCTGTATGTGGTCGAGATCTTGAGATACCTTTAAGGATAAAAGCAATTGGGGGTCATTGCGGAAAATCGCCATTTTGGAAAATGGCCGCCATTGTTGCCATAGGGAAAATCTGCGAGGGCCCTATAACTAAAGGTCTTGCTCTTACAGTGTGCCAAAGCTCATGCTTGTATCACCAAAGGCACAATTCATTCACATTCACTATTCATCTTCTTACGGTTGGAAGCATTTACGCATTAGCATTCGACACATTTAAGGATTGACAGTGGATTGTTTTCGGTTTTTCGATTCATACCTTAATGAACCGGTAAAAAACATATTTCGACAACGTAAACATGTGTTATCTACAATAGTTTAACCAAAAACAGTTATATATCAAAGCAGACAGAAATCATGAGATTAATATTTATTATAGGTGTAGGTTAAAAATGAAACCCCAAAAGACATGAAATTTGTGGAACCCAGGCGAGCGGAATATAACAGGCGGGCGAGCCTGCACGTTTGATGTTTCATTCCTTCTCGGTCTTCCGGCTCAAAGGGTAGTTGGGGCGGTCGGGTAGCCTAGTGGTTAAAGCGTTCGCTCATCACGCCGAAGACCCGGGTTCGATTCCCGACATGGGTACAATGTGTGAAGCCCATTTCTGGTTTCCCCCGTCGTGATATTGCTTGAATATTGCTAAAAGTGGGAGTGGCTTAATGTTTTACATTGATTGGGAAATGAATACAGTAACACGTGACCAATTCAGCTAAACATTATGCAGGAATTAAAATGAACACAACGGAAACTAATTTATTTCGCCTTATACAGATGGTATATTCTAGATTGTCTGCTTGCTTAAAGGCTTGTTAACTTTAACAATATAATGTGAGAATGTAAAGACAAATTTGCACTTTATATACTAGTATAGATTCGTGTGTTTGTATAAAGACGTGTGTATTATTACCTACGTCCATATGAAAGATCATACACAATAACTTGTGTTTCAGGCCAATAGTCAAAAATGAAACCAAATCCATCCGATTTTTACTGAGAAAACAATATGTAATATGCTGCTTTTTATTTACAACATTTTCCAGAACATGTATTTATTTTATAAATATTTATTATACATTTATTTTCTATGCTATTTTAAATGGGTTTAGCATCACATGCATGTGTTAATGAACGGCTAATCCCTATAAGACAGTATTGAAGCACAGACTCGAAGATTAAATTTGATATTTCATGGTTTGCAAGAAAAGAGGGGTGAAACGTGTGTCACGTGCCAAAGATGTCATGGACGTTACCCTTAACATCGAAGTTTAATCCATCAGCATAGAAAGAGCACATCGGCTGCACTCAAAATCTGGAAGTAGACTGATAATTGTCAAGTTCTAATTATAGATGGACAAAGCAGCCTTGGAAGCTGCCAGAAAGTTTTTGAAAGGGAATACAGAGTATAGCGTTTCAGAAGACTACACTCAGAGAATGAGGGGGTTTCGGCCAGTTTTTTCCCTTTATGATGAGTGCCAGGCAAGAGAAGGTCAGCTGCCTGTCTGAGTTACGATAAACTAGTAGTTGATGGTTCTGTTTTCGTTCTGGGAGACGACTACACACAAATCAGACAAGTGGGCAGCTTAGGAACTGGAGATGGGTTACAAAATCGCAGGCAAGATCATCAGCCAATCCTACTGAGACATCATCGACGTCTGCACCTGCTGCTGGGTCATCGTCAACTACGTCTACATCAGCTGGTAGTAATGGCAAATAGGATGGTGGTCGTGGCCTCAATGGCATTCATGAAAATAACACTGAATCTACACTTAACATATTGAATATATGATCCTGGAACATCCAAGGACTAAAATCCAAACTAGAATGTTGCCAAGATCTTGATATATTCTGTTTTGTTGACACAGTGTGTACAGATACTAGTTATGTAGTTACGAAAGTATTCAGTGACTATAATAATTATGTTTGTGATGTAAAACGTCATTCTGACCGTAAAAAGGTTATCAGGTGGAATTGCAGTTTGTATAAAAAACTGTTTGGCAGAATTCTCAGTGAGAGTGTACTCAATTTGGGATAATGCTGTCTTTTTCAGGATTGTGAATGCTGAAAGTCCAATACACATTTTTATTGCCTTTGTCTATATACTCCCCGAATCATCTCTATTCTAGGGGCGGTCGGGTAGCCTAGTGGTTAAAGTGTTCGCTCGTCACGCTGAAGACCCGGGTTCGATTCCCGACATGGGTACAATGTGTGGAGCCCATTTCTGGTGTCCCCCGCCGTGATATTGCTTGAATATTGTTAAAAGCGGCGTTAAACTATACTCACTCACTCACTCTATTCTACAATAACTGTGAGGAAATGGTATAGATAAATTAGAGAATCAGGCAGTACATAGTAAACACGAATATGATGAGTCCTGTAAATTCATCTTATACGGTGATTTCAATGCAAGAACTGGCTGTGACTGGGATTTTATACTTCATGATGTGAAGAATTTACCAAATGATCCACATTTTGTTAGCGATTCTTCTTCAGCTACACAAAGTGTTCGTGAAACAAATAACTATGGTAGAGCTTTACTGAACTTGTGTAACTTATCTGTTGGATATGCCTTGTGACTTCACATTTGTGTCACATACAGGATGCAGTACTGTATATTAATTTATTGTTTCGCAGTGATCTTTACCCAAATAAAATAAATAATTAACATATTATTATATATTCTACCAGTTGAAAACTTGCGGTCATATTTACAATATTTTCGGAATACCACAAGACAGACTATGTATAAAAAATATTCTCATTGATATTAGTTAAAAGCATTAACAAAGCCGTTGACAAATTATCCACAATTATGATCCATAGTGTTCTAAATGGAGGAGCTTATAATACAGCATCTAAGCAAACTAGAAGATCACAACCTCCTTGTTTGATTATGACTGTGTTCAATTCAAATCTGAGAATCATAGACTACGGGACAAGTTCAGAAAATGTAACTGTGCGCTAAATTTGCACATTGGGGATAACTGGGGTTCAACCCCACAATCATAGGTTTCTGGCATGCCCAGTGGACGCAACTCTGCACAGCAAATCGTGGCGCCTTAGGCGACTGGGCCACCCGTGCCCCCTGACCTTGAATGACCCTTCATGTCATGAGAAGCGACAGCATAGAAATGTTCCCATCTCAACAAACAAGGAAATGTCAAAGACGAATCACATATCACGCTAGCATTCCAACAAAACAAACTACAAGAATATAATGAAGAACATATTGTGAGTTAGTATCAATTGTACTTAAGGCCAAATGGCCATAATATTTGATAAACCTGTCCGTCCGTCTGTTGGCCATTACAATAGCCCTGCAGCTTCCAACTGAATTTCTTGGCAAGGAAAAAGAGAGCTTTGGCCAGTGGGGTCCTCTAAAGAAAGGAATGATGACCAGAAAAATGAGAGCTGCTTCCATGTTGTGTAAGAGTGATGGAGCACAATTGTGGTCGACGCAGTTAGAGGCAGCCCACAAATTTACCTTTCAACATCTATATGTTTAATGCTATACAAAATAATGATTTTAGAAACTGGAAATTGAATGCTGACAATCTGCACCCTGTGCAACGAGATGATGAAACAACAGATTTTCTGCTAAGGAAATACTTTTTTTTCAGCATATTCATATGGATCAGGCCTGTGTAGTTACCCTTATTATGGACGGGGTACAACCAAACATTGAGGACATTGGTTTGATGCACGTCCCCATACCCTGGGTGATTTTGGATCCAGAAGCCAACTTAACAAAACAGCCTCCTGAAGGGGTCTGCTGTCGTGTTTATGGAGCATGTCAAATTGTGATGATACTAGGTATTCACGAAAAGGTGTGCATATCCCGCTCCACCGGTGGCACCCGTCACATATGGAATAAGTCAAGATAAGGAATTGCATTGGACATCAT